TGAGCAAGAGCGAGACCCCGTCTCTACTAAAAATAGAAAGAAATTAGCTGGAGAACTAAAAATATACATAGAAAAAATTAGCTGGGCATGGTGGCGCATGCCTGTAGTCCCAGCTACTCGGGAGGCCGAGGCAGGAGGATCCCTTGAGCCCAGGAGTTGGAGGTCGCTGTGAGCGAGGCTGACGCCACGGCACTCACTCTAGCCCAGGTGACAGAGCCAGACTCTGTCTCAAAAAATAAATAAATAAAACCTTTCTTATTTTCAATTAGTTCAAGTCTATAAATTTTTATCCCCTAAATTTTGATGTTATCTTTTCGTTCTCATTCCATTCAAAATATTTTCTAATTTCCTTGCCGCTTCCTCTTGGACACACGGGTGATTCACAAGCATGTTGTTTCGCTTCCAAATTTTTAGGAATTTTCCAGATATCTTTCAGCTGTCATAATCAGAAATGCACTTTGTATACGTTCACTTATTTTAAATTTGCAAACTTGTGTTTTCTAGCCCAGGATGTGTTTTATTTTGCTGAATGCTCCGTGTTCTGTTAAAAAAAAAAGAGCAGGTATTCCTTGTCGTTAGGTCGAGTGTTGTTAAGTGGAATATTCTATCGATGTCAACTAGATCAAATTAATGGATCGTATTTTTCAGATCTATGTCCGTCTTGATTTGCTGTCTTCTTACTGTATTCTTGTGACAGGAAGGCTGAAGTCCCCAAGTCTAATTATGGATTTCAGAATCAAGCAGTTTAAAGGGACAAGGGAGCTTACCGTTCTGAATCTGAGCCACTTTTTTCGATATCTCTCCAATGATCTGAAAAAAATAAAAATACATAAATAAAAGGCAGTACGTTTTCATGACTTTTTTTTTTTTTTTTTTAATTCCAGGGTATTGTGAGGGTACAAACATGAGTTTTCATGACTTTTGAATATGTTTCGGAAATACAGGAAGACTTTAATTCGGAGTCAGTCGTTAAATACAGTTAGAATACTGGTTTAAGAGTGATTTAGGTAGTAAGCGGCAGAGAGTTGTTACTACTACCGAGATCGGATTTATCCAGAACGTACCTGTCGTCTCCACTTCTCAGCTTTGGGCAGCTCGGTACATTCCGAGGCAAGAAAGGGTCTTCGTTCCTGAGGAGAAGCGGAATGACACAGGTTGGTCGTCACCGTACTTACTTACAAGCTTCGTGGGACATGCACGGCTGATCCGAGCGTGAAGTCTAAAATGTCTAATGCTCTAAGTACGCGTGACGTTTCGGTTCCAGATGATCCTTACTGAGCCTTAAACCTCGCTCTATAATCTCCTTAGGAAAACGTTCATTGCGTTAGATCTCACACAGTGAGACAACCTAAACGTCTGCTAATAGGTGGCTAAATAAATTAGCGAATAATCAGGTAATAGATTAGCTAAATAATGTCGTGACCTACTTATACCGACTTAAGAAATGATGGCTGTCAGAATTTAGAACAAACATACATAAATATACACGTGCACACATTATGGCTGGGTATAAAATTTAAAAAGAAATAAAATAAAGCAAATAAAAACATGCAAAGAACGGTATATGTCATCCCTGATCTGGCTGAGTCTCCAGGAATTGAGAACATTTACTCCACTGCGTAATATTCGACATCAGACAGAGCTGGGACAGTAAAGGGACCCGGTTGTCATATTTCAGAAGAGGGAGAAGAACAAGCAGGCAGGGCCATCCTGCCGCTCCAGCTCCAGGGAATTCAAATACACCTGGAATTCAAATGTACAGACTCATAATAGCGTGAGCAAGTACGGACAAGAAATAGGAAGGTTTGAAGTTTGAAGTCTGTCCAGGAGGAAGTTTACTGCATTTATTCTTTTTTTTTTTTTTGAGACAGAGTCTCACTCTGTCGCCCAGGCTAGTGTGTCGTAGGTGGCGTCAGCCTCGCTCACAGCAACCTCCAATTCCTGGGCTCAAGCGATCCTCCTGTCCCAGCCTCCCGAGTAGCTGGGACTATAGGAGTAGCTGGGACTACAGCCATGCGCCACCATGTCCGGCTAATTTTTCTATATATTTTTAGTCGTCCAGCTAATTTCTTTCTATTTTTAGTAGAGACGGGGTCTCGCTCTTGCTCAGGCTGGTCTCGAACTCCTGACCTCGAGCGATCCTCCTGTCCCAGCCTCCCGAGTAGCTGGGACTACAGGCATGCGCCACCATGCCCGGCCAATTTTTCCTATACATTTTTAGTTGTTTGGCTAATTTCTTTCTATTTTTAGTAGAGACGGGGTCTCGCTCTTGCTCAGGCTGGTCTCGAACTCCTGATGACCTCGAGCGATCCTCCCGCCTCGGCCTCCCAGAATGCTAGGATTACACGTGTAAGCCACCTCGCCCGGCCTGCATTTATACTTAATACTTTAGAACTCACAAGTAAGATTTATACCGACCTTCACTTTGCCCTCTTCCAGCTGAGCCTGGCGAAATCTTGCTAAGGCCGTCCTACCGGGGACAGAAAAGACTCCATTAGATCCTGTTCACAGATTTCTCTTTACCTGTGTTCCTGGATGGGGTAGACCTACCCACGACCACGTTTCATGTCATTCATGCACGTAATGCAATTAAGAAACCACAGACTAGTTAAATGGTTTCCATGTTCCAAGGAATAGGACTTATAAGGGCATTTGTATTTCGTAAACACCCAAGTGCCTGATTTATTTACACTGCGTGTCAGGACTCTGGGAAACTCTACTTATCAGCCCACTGGGATGAGCGATACGCCCAGATGTTCAAAGATTAATATCATGGCGCGCCCTAGTTGTCATCCGACGGCCCCAGCACCAACCGCAGGTGAACAAACGTTCATCCAACGGAAGTTCCAGAAGCTGTCAGAAAACACTAATGGGGAAAAGGAACAGGCAAATTAAGGAATGCTACGTGTAGAGAAAGAAGCAGCTTTTTTATACCAAAAGGCCACAATGACTTTTGTCATGGTTATTAAGTTTACAGGCAAAACCAGGTGGATACTTACATGGCCTTTTCTGCATTTCGAGCCTGGAAAGAGAGAGAAGGGGAGAAAAATGGCAATGTTTAAAACACCTTTTTTTTTTTTTTTTTCTTTTTTTTTTTTTTCGGTTTTGTTTTTGGGTGGTAAGCAGGTAAGTTATCGTTTACTTTATTGGGATGAGTTTTACAAGGAGACAGCCACAGATTGCTTGGACTGCTGTTAGAACAATAAAAAATTCCAAAGATGTCCAAACCCTGGGACTTAGGATGCTCTTCCCTCCCGCTTAAAATCTTTCCTCCTCCACTGCGCCTGATGTTCCCATTGCTCCCTCAAATTTTATTTGTGTCATCAGCACCCCGGAAAGTTGGTTTGTGACTCCTTCTTCCCAGCTAGGCCGGTGTCCTTTATCGGGGTTTATACTAACTACCTGGCATATCGCAACTTTCTCTTCTTTGCCAGTGGGAATTTGGGGACGTTTAAGCCTCAAGACTGGCTTTTGCAAAGTGAGTTTTACGTAAGCACCGTGACACTAGCGTCAACTCTATTATTCCTGCAGCGCGGTGTTAGGCAGAGAATGACGTCTGGGTTGTAGTGTAGACAGAAACACGAGTGTCTCAGTGAGAGACTTTTACTTTCAGCTCGTCTGCTAACCATCCCTGAGAAGCAGTCTCTCTAAACCTCAGTTTCCCCGTCTTCACGATAGGGATCATATTCATTATCTCGTGCAGACGGCATGATGCTTTCATGAGATAAGCGCACGAAGGCATCAGGGACACGGTTTATAGACACCCCTCCAGAGTGAGTTCGATTGAAATCTCCTTTCAGACTGTCCCTTTCGACTGGTACAGAATCAAATGCTTGGTGGATAAAGGAGAACAGCAGGAATCTGGGAAATACCGTAAAAGGCTACTTCTCGTCCACTGGTTTCTCTCCTTGGGATCTTGTGCTCATGGATCCACACTGGCTTTCAGTCTGTATCTTC